GGTTTTTTATAGCTAAGTTTAGTTATAATACTATTCAGAGTGAATCTTTAGGAAATACATCTTTTCAAGTGGTTCATGGCTTTGATGTATTTAAGTCAATTAACTTGATAAGAATTAGGTAGAATGATGAAACTACTTTGGATTTTTATTAAATTGAAAGAGCAAGGGGTGGCCAAAAGACAAGCCATAATGAAAGCTACCAAAGCTAGATTAAAGTTAGCTCAAAGTACATATAAGAAAAAATTAATAAACACATGAAAGATGTGCATTATAAAAAGAAAGACAAAATAACCTCACTTGTCTAATACATCTCACTCCTAAATAGATCCAAAACTAAACATGTCTTTATGAAATTGAAAGAGTGTTATACAAGAATGTCTATGTATTAGATATACTAAAAAGATTGAAGTGGCATCTGATTTTCCATGTGCGTATCCTTAAAAAGTTTATAGAAAATGTAAAAGGCTTTTACAAAGAGAAGGCACGAGTTCCATCTCAAGAAGAGGTTTGAAACTAAACCATGGCTCAAATAGAAGCAATACTTGACAAGAAATGGATGGATGTTAGAGGAATTTAATATTTGTGTACTTTTAAAAGTTATCTTCTACATAAGTTTCAATGGATCAATGAAAGGAACTTGAGACATGTGCAAGGATTAGTCACAAATTTCAATAAAAAGAATAGATGATTATAAAAGACTAAGGACTACAAGAAAACAAATTAAGAATCATTAAATTGAATCTATCGCATGGAAGATAAATAAAGGTGATCAAGAAGGTGATGATATCTTCACTCTAAAGTAGAAGAAGGTTACAAAATTCTATATAATACCAAAAAGAACAAGTTGGTGATAAGTCAAATGTGTAGAAAATTCCTTAATTATTACCTAAATAGACTAAATATAAGATGAAAGAAATACAACTTTGAAATAGTTTTAGGATATAAGTGCCAAAAAACTATGGCGTAAGAAGTTTTTAATAGATGAAGGATTTAAAAAGATTTTAATCTAAGGGGGCATTGTAGAGGAAAACCTTAAGAAGCTTGTATGAAGCAAATACAAGTCTTCGAGCAATTAGGCCAAACTGATTAGTCTTTCTTAAATAGGTTTCTCATTGAATAATTGCAAGCTACTTCTGTAGGGTAGGAAAAGGTACTAAGGCGAGGTAAGTCTTAGTTAAGGAATTCAAAAATTGTGACAAAGTCTAAGAAAGGATGCAAGTCTTTATGATTCACATTTAGAAATCTAGACTTTCAAATTTAAAAATTGAAAGAAATTAGAAAAATTGACGATAAGAGAAATAAATTACACAAAGAAATGCAAGAAGGTAGTAGTATTCCATCTCAAAAAAGTAAGATATATATAATAAAATCTCTATTTTTTAGTGAAGGCAAGAAGCAATGTAATGTTAGGTAGTGAAGAGCCTTTAAGCTACTTAAAAGAAGGATGTATAGTACAAAACATCGATTAGGAATAAGTTCTTAAAAAATCTTACTTCTCAAATATCCAATTGTATATTAATGAGGACATTGACTCTCTAAAAAGCAAGAAGATATAAGAGTTGAAAGGAGTCAATTCTTTTAATTATTTAAAAAATAAGTGTAAGCTAAAAATTATGTGATGCCCAAAGGGAACTTGTGGCAAGGTGGCATATGAGAGGTTGGGAGGGCCACCTTCGTCACTCCATAGGAAACCTTGTGCGAGGATATAAGGTGGAATGCAAAATAAGTTATTTACCAAAAGTGAGTCTCAGGTGCTTTTTAGACGAACACAAGACTCATCTCCCTTAGAACTCTAAATTCTAATTTAAACTTAATTCAAGGTATTAGGAGTCAGTTCAAGAAAGAAAATTAGCTCCCAAAATGACCCCCTTTGAGTTGTGGCCGAGAGTAGTGTCAAGGCATAGTGCAGAGGCACCAACGTAGAATAGTAATGTGCTTAGACTAGAATCAACGTGCAATGCAACCTTGAATTGCGACACATCACAAGGGTGTGGCATGACTTTAGGCCGCAACTCAACAATGTCTAAAACTTGGTTCTAGAATAGAATTGTTTTTTGTTATGGATGATTCAAGGATTTGAAGGGACTGTTTCAATTTGCTTTTAAGTGTATTTTCAAAGGAATAACCTTGCCTTGATGGAAATTTCAAGTTTGATTGAAAGGTCAAGTTAAGACAACGTTACAAAAACTTTGATAAAGTTTCAAACTTCTTTTGTAATATCAATTCTAAATTCAAATAACATGAAATTTGAAGTGATTCTGCTTATGAAAAAAATCTTATGTTAATGATTATATGGATCTTCAAAAATAAAATGTATTGAAAATATAATTCCAAATTATCAACTTCATGATAAGTTGATCTTCTGTAATATATATCAACCAATATTCTTTAAACTATATACATGCCTGTTTATAGAAACAACTTAAAGTAAATATTGCAATTTTTATACCACTCAAACTTTCTCTAGAATATTTAGTCATTTTTTCTTCGAAGTTCTTCTCACACACGTACATACAGTTAAGTATTTATATATGAAATTATGAAAGGTTTATTTCAGGGTCTAGATATGTTTGAATCAACAGTCGATCAAGTCTCACCTAAGAAATACTGTGATTTCGAAGAAGCATTTTGTTGCCAATCAGTCCAGCAATGTTCACTACTCAAAAACTAACTATCCAGTGCACAGGAGGTAGAGAGCAATTGATTGGGGGGGTGGTTCCTGGTGTTGCCCCGCGTTGATTGCGAAGTGGTGAGGTATGTCGGCACATTGCTGGAATGGAGGCGGCGCTGCGTTTCCCCGACAGAATGGCGACGCGTATCGTCGCCCGCGGAACGGCCCCAATGCGAGGCGTAATACTCGGAGGGAGCGGCACTGCTGCCATTCTGGACCACCTGCCAGTAACACTGATGCCCGTGGTCGCCTCATCTGGCCTCCATCGCCCGGGCATGGTCTCTGTGTGAGCCCATACCACGGACTCACGCTGCATTCCCATCTTCTAGCTTGACTCAGTTTGGGTTTGTTTCAGCGCCAATCTGACTGGTCATGTTCGGCTACGTAGAACAGTGCAACTGATGTGGTCACAGCGGCACCGCGCCGTTCTGGTACAAGATTCGTGCAGTGCATTCTTTTTGTATTGGAATCGTTCTTTCGTTCGGGACGTCGTCAAAACAACACCGATCGTTGTTCCCCAGAAGCGAAAAGAAAAAAAGACAAATAAAAGTATATTAGGCTGAAGGATGTTGAATGTGTGAGCTTACGGTGGCTATCGTGTGGTCTCCGCTATTAAGCATGTTTGTATTTCAGGTCAGTCAGAGTTGAGCAGGAATATCGCAGTCCGGTTTCTCCAGCATGTCCTTAGACAAGCCGGAGCAAGTTGTATGCAATACTGAAAAGTTTAGGTGAGGGGATAGTACACACACTGGATGCCGATTTTCTGGAAGTGTGGGTGCCATGATTCCTACGTATTCGCCCGAGATTCTTAGGTATATACGAAGTATAGGACTTATCTAACATATATCTTCAATTGACTCCGACAAGCTCTTCAACTTGTGTTGCTGTGGCCTGTCTGGATCGATCAGATCAGTGCCCTTTCACACTGGCTTTGAAATGACAATCCACCACGTTCACTTGATACTTAACCAAATCACCCTACCATTAGTACTGCTATCATTGGATGGAGGAAGATGAGGGAAATCTTCCGATGAGCATCTGTTCCCTTGCTTTCAGTTTGAGGGTTTCCTCACATTAATATGTGGCGTTTCATTGCACACTGAAAATTGATATGTTTTGAAAACTACCACAATAGAGGTTTCAAGCACCTCCTAATAGTGGGTTTCGAACATGGCACTTTTGCAAAATCAAATAACTAGGATTCAATGCCTGATATATATTTCCTAGATCACTTAAAATATCAAATCCAAAATGTCACCATTCAAACTAAATTACCTCCTAGTATGGAGTCAAAGAGAAGAGAGTTGAAGCAATGACGCAGTTTTTGATATTTGACCCACCCTCCTTTGATATTTCAATTTCAATGGGTGATTTTGAAATTGAAATATCAAATTCAAAATCACCCACCTCGTGAGATGGGTGATTTGGTGAAATATCAAGTGATATTTCAAAATATCATGGGATACTTCAAGTTTACATCATGGATAAAATATCACCCAAAAAGTCCATATTTGAAACCCCCTCATGGTTATGGATGGGACTATGTTGATAGAATTGTGGGTGATGTTATATTTGCATCCGTGTACTGGAAACTTAATATTGAAACATGACCAAATGGTTATAGTACACAAAAACATGGAATTTCAACAAAAAGAACACATGAGAAACTTTTCAGTTGAACTATCTAGGCACTGTAATTTTCTGAAGAACTCATTTGTAACTACGTTTTTTCTCTTATTTGCTGCACTCTTGCTAATCCAAAACATATATATATATATATATATATATATATATGTAACAGTGGGCATTTTTTTGGTTTGAAAGACGTCTAAGTTGATTTTACATATTATAGTCCTGTTCATTTACTGCTGCTTTTCACGACACAACGTGGTAGATAGAGAAACTCAAGAGTAAAACAGAATGAAAAGAAAAGTAAATGGAAACACGTATTGGAGATCATGAAATTATGCGACGATTCGACAGTCCTTAATAAAGTTCGCTGTGCTCCAAATCTTGCTGTTTTTTGTTTAGTTTGTTTTGGTTTTTTGGCACAAATAATAAAATTTTATTTCAGGGGGGAACCGGTACAAAGTGTTTGGCCTAGACAGGACTAAGAAATTCCAGCCAAGCAACGACTCAACAAACAAACGTAATAATACAACCCCACCTTATTGGGGATCTACTCTACCTTGGGTCCTTGGCTTGTTGGGCTGCCACCTGATCTTGCTGTTTCTTAAATACCGAGGTTAGTCAGGGCACCAATGAACATCAAGATACGGTTCTATCGTGCACTTATGTCCCTGATCTTCCCTCCGCAATTGTCGCTTGCCATGCTGGTTTCCCTGCTCAGTCCGGCACTGAGGCCAGTCATTCAGCCATCGGATTCTTGTGGCAACGTACCCTGTAACATTAGCTTCCCACTTGCAGAAGTTGGAAGTGCTCGAAATTGTAAGGAAGGCACGTGCCACTGCAGGAACTTCCACAGATCCACTTGCATAGCGATCCGTAGAGGGTCTGATTGACGTGGTGCTGACTTAGATATCGAAAGATTGTTGGGGACAGAAGAAGAATCGCTGGTCACGGAGCAGGCAGTACACGACGGTGTCTGATTCCACACTACTGGTGGTGGTGGTTGTTCATCCGGAGAGAGATCGATCTTCAGTGGAGCCACACTGTCGCCGTCACAGTAGGAATCTAGTTGTCAGTGCGGATGTGAGGTGGTTGATGTGCGTGGACATGTTTTGGCAGCAGTGGGTGGTGTGTTAGGACGGATAGAACAAGGCCTGTTGTTGTTTGGCTGCAGTACCGGGGATATGCAGTGGTTTAGACATTTCTGTGCGAGTTACATTCCTGGGGCTTGTTGTAAGTTTTGTTACAATGGAGCTGGCGGAGTTGGAGTTGGACTCCAGGAGCATGGTTTGGTCTGTGGTGCTCAAGGCTTATGTTGTGTCGCTTCTACTGCTTCTTTCAGTGCTGGTTTGGTCCGTGGGCGATGTCTGGTTGCAATACGTGCAGGATGTCTTCACGTCAGCCTGCGTTAGTATCCATTACAGCTTGTCGCGGTCGAGTTCATCGTCGTAACTGTGCTCCCTTTCTTCTCGAGTTTTTCGTAAGTTAGCCTGCATCAGTGTCAGAAAAATTGTATTCCTGGCTGTTACTGGTTTCTCTCAAGAGGAATCATGGTAGTGCACTGTTCATGCCAAGAGGTATGGCGGTGAAACATCTCCGATTCTTATGACGCTGTCACAGATCCTGTCATATAGGCGCTCTGAGAATGTGGCTTGCATTCTCTGTAGAATACTGTCTCAAGATATAGGGATATTGAGCGGGACATTGATTGAAAGTCTCAACGATCATCAAAATATGGTTGCCATGGTTCTGTCCGCAAAAAGTCTTTTGCATGCTTCTAGTAAGGACCCTGAAGGAGATGAAGGTGACTATAAGATCCTACCCATGTAAGTTTACGCCAATTTGGTATCACTTCGTTAGATTTCAGAATTTCTAATTTAGGTCTGACCATCTGCCGGAGATTGGGTGCCAGATGAGGATGCAAAGGCCTGTTCATGCGCACTCGAGACTGTTTAAACTGTTGTTAAATTTTTCAAAATATTAGCAAACCAACCCCTTTCCAACCTCATCAGATGGCTTCATTGCTGTTAAGATATTGTCTTGAAGATTGATGCTTGTTCTGGTGCAGTTTGTGTGTTCCCCTGTTCTAGTTTAAGGCTTGTAAGCCTTCAACCCTATCTGGCTTATTAATTTTACTTGATTTTATTGTCACTGACGAAGGTGTCTGCACAGAAATTATGTCCCAAAGCTAAAATTGTTTATCTACACTGTGTTCGTTGTTCATGTTTGTGTTCCTTCAGCAAGAGGACCTTGGTTCCCTCGCATAAGACAAAACTATAAACAGAATGCAGTAGCTCTTGGAGGAACGAGGAGGCTGCTACATGTAACATGTAGTGTCTGCAGAGACCTCTTCTGATGCTGTTGCAAGAGAGAAATTATTGTACAAGGACTGGGAACTTTTTGAAGAAATCAAGGTTCCTTCAAATATATTTCTGTCATGTTAACATCGTGTGTCCAAGGGAAAGACCATAGTTAAGCTTGATGGGGTTGCAATTACTGTGTGGGTGTCACCATTTTTCAAAGAGATTACAATTCGTGATTTTTGTGAATGTCACCACCATAGTTTGTACATCAATGTTCACCCTTTCTTGCTCTCTTTACAAAGACAACAATGCTCAACTTGTATAATTATATATTCCTCTATTCCTCATCTTCCTATTATGTGCACATCCAATGTTGCATTAACAATATGGAGGTATTGCTTTAGCAAATTCTTTTAGTATATTATAAATCTTTCAAATTTTATTAGTTTTATTGCATATATATATATATATATATATATTACTAGCATTTGAAATGTTTTATAAAAAAATCTATTTTTCATTATATAAATGGAAATGCTTAAAAAGCTTTTGTTGAAGACTCCTTATTTGAGGTTTAAAACAATCCTAAGGATTTAAAGAACCATTGTAGAGAGAGTTGAAAAAATAGGTTTTTGGTCCATTTCCACACCTTTTAAACTTTGGAGTGTTATGAAAGTAGAGAGAATTTGCCTTAAGAAAGCACAAGGCTTTTGGATGTCATTAATTCTTCAATCAAGTTTCAATATTAAAAAAAAAATACCAAGTTTATATATATAATTGTTCTTATAGGGGCAATTACATCAATACATAAGCTCTAAGTATCAAAGATCACCAAAAATGTGATAAAAATAATATAAAACCATATATATCCTTAAGGTGAATTTTTTCCAAATTTTAACAACTCATATCTCATGATTGGACTGTCCAAAAAAATCCAAATTTTACAAGAAGTACTAATATTCTTTTAAAAACTACCACAAAAAATTTCAACCATAAATTCATTATGAATCTTTAGATATTGCCAAAACCCTAACAATAGCTTCAAATCCTTGCTTATATACACCCATGTGCAAATTTCTTCATATCTCACAAACCAAATATTTAAATACCATAAAACTTTGATATATAACTTCTTAACCTAATAGAACACACTTTTAGAAATTTTGAGCCAAAAATTCATCCAAAAACTCAAGATATGGCTCCGACCATTACTATCAACAAAATGACTCACTTATTGCCTTTGAAATACATGTAATATCTTCAATGCTCTATAACTTCTTTATCCAAACTCCAAATGCAAAAATTCTTTTACAAAAGATGTAGATCTTAAAATCGCCCTTGTAGCTATACCTTTGGTTCTCCAAAATCTATCATAAAACTTCTTTTATCTTCAAATTAGCAACAATATAACTTAAAAAGATACTTTAACTTCAAATGGCTATAACTTCATCACCCTAATTCCAAATCTTCTAAAATTTGTACAAAAATTTTAGCCTAAATCCTAAACCTTACAACCTTTTATTTTGATTCTCAAAATTCCCTTCTAAAGTTGCCAAAATCCTTGTTGTGGTCGTAGAGAGCCTACTAAATACCTATTGGGCATGGCCTTTGATTAATAGGGATGAAGATCTTTACCTTTTGTCTTCATCCATCCATACCTTTCTTTCATCCTTCCAAATAAGTTCCTTAGAGGCTTGGATCTTCATCTTTGAGCTCCAATATTCTCCTTAAATTTTATATTAAATGTCTTAATCCTATATAATTTAAATACTATAATCAATATAAGTAAATTTCAAAATAAATTTTCTTAAATCAACTTTCTTTAAATTAACCTACAAACTACTAAAATTTACATTAAGACTTATAAATATATTATATTTTTTAATTAATTTTTACATATTATAAACAACTACAATACGACAGTGTTTCTAAAACTTATGAAGGATTATTAGTAAGATTACAAGAAAGAAAAACATGCAATATTTAATAATTTATGCACTTATTTTAATCTCTCGGCATTTATTATAATGCTTCTATGTCATATGAACAAGTTACAAGTAGGTTTATTCTTGGTTCTAGTTCTGTACCAAAAATCATTTAATACAAAATTAGAGATTTAAGAAACTTAACCACCTAATATCTTGGATTTAGAATAAAAAGTCATGGTTTTTTAAGGATTTTTCTTATTAAATTTAGTAGTATGGATTCTTAATTTACATTTTTTTTTTTTCATAAAAAAAAAATAGAAAGTGGTTCTAATTATCTAAAGAAATCATAACAAATAAGAGATGTGTCATTGTAGGTTAAAGGTCATTTTTCTCAATTACTCTATATTAGAGAAAAAAATATATTATTGTTTAATAAGTTGTGATGGAATTGAAAGCTTTCTAAAGATTTTTTTTATAAAGAATGAATCTACGTATAGAATACTATAAATATTTTTTGAATTAGCACACTTTGAAGTATAAACAAATCTACATTTTTTTCTTATTGTTTTTTTTGTTCTAAAAGGTTTTAGAATAAAAGCCATTTCTTATTAGATTAGATTGATATATATATATATATATATATATAATCAATCATCAACTTTAAAAGAATCAAGGCCATTAATTAAAATTAAGCTTTATGAGGTTCAAAGACTTAAGATTATAGTTTTTTATAATGTTTTATCCATAATATTTAGTTTGTATGGTATATAAACTCTTGAGTGTATAATTTTGTATTAGTTATTATCTTGTGTTTACAATGGTTGTTTATATTATGTAGTATGTGCACTATAATAAATTCCTCAAAATTCTATTAGTCTTGACATGATTCTCCTTGATATTTACTTACTTAAAGGAACTATCTCTGTACAAATTACCCATTATTCCTTCTATTGCTTCTTTGGCTAGTTTTAGCTCCATCTTGAATTTTTGTTTGTTTCTTCTTAGATTCTTCTAATATGGTACACTTTTTTAATTCTATATTTTTTATTAAGATAAAATCTACACAATATAGGTAGATTATTGTAGTCAATTAGAATTAACTTATTCTTATTTATGATTAAATTTAATACTTGCACTTCTAGCTCTTAGCCATCTCTAAAATTTAGAATCACATAGAATCTAAGTTTATGTATTTTTTGATTGTTGGAAACAATGCCAAGACCTTAATTTGAGCAGGTTTCCACTTAAGGGGTCATTTTTTGAAACTTGTCAAGTAATTTTGTAAGAGTTATTCAATTCGAGACTTTGATTGTCTCTATGCAATTCAAAATATTAAAATTCTATATAACCTAGGATAAGTTTAGGTCCCAACTTTAGAAAGTATAAAATTTTATTGAGGGTCTATAACGTAAGAATAATAAGACATTTTCAATTGTTTTAGTGGATTCTAATTGAATATAAAATTACCTTTTATCTATGTTTTTTCAATTTGAATTTACCCTCCAAGTTCTTTCTCTAGTTGTCTTATGTAAGACTCAAAATAAATAAGGAAAGGTTATCTCCCATAAAATAAGTAATAGTAACATGATTGGAAAGGTATTTGATTTTAACATGTACAAAGTTATTGTTGACTTCAATTAATCTAGGAGTGATTTTTACTTAAAAAAACTTAAATAGCTCCTTTTAAAAGTCTTAAAGAAGAATCTCTCCTTCAAATTGCTGTTTTAGTTGAAGTTTATTGGCATGTTTGTGGGTACCTAGTGTTGTGAATAGATCTTCCTCTTTTCTTGGACTTAGGTACTCAAGTAAACCATCTCCCACATCTAAGCCACTACTCCTCTCTTTGCTGTCTATGGACCCCCAAGAGTACAAGTTGTTCATTTAACTGCAATCTCACCCTAAGCCTCTCTCTCTCTCTTTTTTTTTTTTTTTTTTTTTTTTTTTCTTCTTTCTTTCTTTGATAACAACAAATCTACTTCCTTTTGAACTAGTTTCTAAACCCTTAACAATGTTAACAATATTGTCCCTACACCAATCAAAAACACCCTGCATGCTATGTTTGTGGGACAATTTTAGTGTCAAACACGACCCAATGGGCACCTGTATCATTTGCAGCTCCACAAGTGTAGAATTATACTCTGAGCAAGGCGGAGGCATAGGCTCTGTGTCTCTTTTGCAGTCCCTAACTTCCACCAAAAAAGCCTCTCAACACTTACACGCAGATCTCATCTGTCCAACTAGGGTCTGGCGTGTGCTCTTCCTCTTATCCACAGTGCAAGCCATGTAGCCTATCGCACAAAAGTATCCAGACATTGTATTGTGTGGCAAGGATGGCTCATATATACCCATACATTGTGGTTGACCATGCAGTCTTCCATATGTGGAACTAAAAGTTTGCCAGGAGCAAGACCAGCTTTTCTGACAAGGTCATTTCGCAGACCTGAATAGTTTGGACAGTTTGAGATGGAGGTCAAGATCCTGCCCCAAGTGCTTGATTACACAGGCTTTTCTTGTACAATCTTTCCCTAGGATAGTGTGGAATTGAAGAAAGTCTCAATATGCTCTCTATTTAAGAAGTTATGTCAGCTTGATTTCGACGCGTCAGAAAGATTCGTCTCATGTTGACAAGGATCTTCTAAGGCATCCGGAACCCCACAAACCTGGAAACCTAGTCACTGTTTCAGCAAGCCCAAGGGACATCAATTACAAGCTTCTAAGGTAGATTTTACAGAAAAATAATTCTTCAACATTCTATTTGCGACGTTCATACATATAACGGGTGACTCACTTCGAAAGTAAAGGATGATTTCTGCTGCAGTTTTGCGTGTGTCGAAGCAAGATTTTACCGCCTAGAAAAAACAGGAGTATAGTCAAAGCAAAAACCATAAAGATCCAATACGAATGTTTCTGTAACAAAATTTGTGTGAGCATGACAAGATCAAGAATTCGAGGGAAACCACAGCTGAAGTGTCTTAAATGTATCACGTTTCGCTTATATGTGCCCAAATCTTTAGCACAAATACAAAGTACTCTACAATTTTAGCTTCTGCTGCTAATGTAATTTGACCGAAACTCTGCGCACTGTTGCTCCGAGCCTAAAACGTCCCATTATCCTACACATTGCTCCAATGTAATTTTAACCCCAAAGCATGCCCTCGCATCCTCCTCGGGCCCCTCATGAAACAGCCTTCTTGAAGTTGTTGCGATACGCTTTCGATGCGATAAATAACACTGGCCATAGAGCTGTCATGCTAATCTTCGTAGCTGAATTGTCAGCATACGTTGTCTTCTTAAAACCAGAGTAAAACCTAAACGCTCCCGCGGCATACACTATGAAGAGCAGAACAGGATTGAAGACCGCATTCGCCAGAGGCCCCAAAACAGGCACGCTTGAAATGACTGGCAGTCCTGCTCTAACCCCTCCGAGTCGCCTCACTACAACCCTCCCCCTGCACTCCGCTCGCTCCCGTTGTGAGCTCTTTCCGCTCAATTTCAAATCACGCTTCAACCCAGAACATGGGCGACCAAGACTCACAAACGAGCTGCGGCTAGTATAAGAATGCCCCAAATCTGGTCGATGAGAGCCAGGCAGTGCGACGGTCACTGTGCTTGGGCAACACACAGCAGCCATATCTACTTCTCGCTAAACCCGAAACAATTCCCAGAAAAGAAAAAAGAAGAAAACAATTGAAAAACGTGTAATCAAAAACAGAAATCTACAATACGTCGGACCATTTCACAACAATACTAGCCTTCGCGTCTGAATGAGACCCTGCGCGTCAAACCAGCACCTGAACCCGCTGTGCATGCAACAAAAAAGCATGCGCTATCTGCTCGACATGTGCTGGAGCTGAGAACAGGGTTTACGCTCGGCACCCACACATTCAGCCTGCACACGTCTCATCCATCGCGCATCGGATAGGCCTCCCCACCCGGCAGGCGCCGCGGACTCGCGGTGCGCAGGCGTTCGGCCGCGTCGGTCGTTACGTCACCACGTTTGGATTTGGAGTCGTTCGCGACCCTTCGACGCGCTCCCATTTCTACTATCATGAGCATTCGGTCCTTGCGCCTCTTCCAGGCGTATTGTATTGAGTTTAGAACAGCTCAAATTTAATCGAGATGCAACAATTAATGATTTTTTTTACTTAGTGTTCACGTATGTATTATTTAGAAACCTATAATGAGGTAATATGGTATTTGATGAAATAATTCCTAAGCATCTAGCAAAATTAGATAACTTTGGTTTTTAGTGTCTTAATTCTGGTTGTCTTTGTGTGTCACAAGATATTGGAAGGACTGAAACATAGAAAAGTGCTATTTATTATTATTACTATTATTTTTTATTTGTCAGTTCGAATAATCTACTTTGTACCAATAACACAGTATTTGGATCCAAAATGTTTAAAATTACCAATATGCTTTATTTTGAATTGACCTTAATCCAAAATTAATGTAAAATTAATGGTAATTTTAGATATTTTTTAAGTTTTTATTCTCTAAAGATGATAAATGAATAATATGTAACCATTGTTCCATATTTGAGTATACTTCTAAAATACGAATTTAACTTGCTCTAGTTGCTTCTAATTAATTTTGTTCCTTCAAGTGATGTAGATGTCTTTGGCACTGCATGCTTGTATGTATATATATATATATATATATATACATATATTCATTATAATTTTTATAAATTTTTTATAAAATAGGATTTTGTAAGGGACATAAAAATTAATTAAACTTGGTATATAAATTTAAAATAATATTTTCAAAAAGTCATATAATTACTTTACAATTGGAAAAAATTATATTTGATTCTACTTCTACTAAAAATATCAATCCAATATATGAGAATATAATATAAGATTGTAAATTTCTATTATTTAACTGAATAAATTAGTTAAAAATTAAAAATAATTTTTAATTTAGAAAATAAGACTTTGTAAAATTAGAAAGTAATCATAAAAATTCAATAAACCAAGAATAAGATAATATATGATATATTTTATTCTAATATTTTGCATTATGTAAATATAGAGGAAGTCTTGATTTATTTTTAAAGTATCATGATTAAATTGCAATAGTCTTGATAGAATATTCTAAACTCACATGATACTTGATTGAGATAATTTTACAGCTTTGACTGTAGATTTGGCCATAAGGATCTTAATTGTACCATATATATAATAATAATAATAATAATAAAATCTAAAAAGACCCTTCAATAATACCAATTGAGGTGTTTTAATCTTTTCTTTGCATCTGATTTTTATTTTTGTGTTTTTTAAGACAATTTGGAGTTTTCTTGGTATTCATCTTATAAAAATTTGGAATTGAATATGGAGGAAAAAAATATAAATCACAAATAGGAATTGCAACACTTTATAATAGAATTATAAAATTGCAATCAATATACTTGAGGTTTAGCATGACAAAGTGTAAAAACTTGGTTTGATCAGTATCTCTCGCCTTAAAAAGGACATTACAGGACTAATTAAGCAAATTTACAAGAATGATGATCACATAATCTTAAAAGTGTTATCAAATGTTTTTGGATCCTTCCAAAAAAGGTTTATCAATTATTTAATTTGTTTTTTGGAAAACAGTAAAGAAATATCTTGGTGCTCAAATTTGAATTGTAGATAATAATTTAAGAGTAGTATTATCTTTTTTGTGAAATCAAAGTTAAAATGACACAAAAAATGAATAAGTTGGCTAGAATTATTAATTGTTATTACCTGAAATAAGTTATAATATGCATAATTAAGTAAGCTCAAAACTGCCAACCAATATATATGCATATGTTGACATATGTAGATTGTAGAATGACACTTGTTGAGTTTTGAAGACGTTGAATATAAATATGAATAGTGTTTAAAAATAAAGATAGAAATTAAAATCATTAAACACTAACATTATAAGCATTTGAAACATAATTTTGAATTGCTACTACTTTGATGGAACTTATTGAAATAGAGCCTACACTATCTCTATTTTATCCTTTACTGTTTGAAATGTAAATAGCAATTGCAAAAATAATGAAATACAAAAAGAAAAACAAAGAATGAAGAAATAAAAAATGAGAGTCCGAAGTCTATGATTGCTGAACTCTTTGAATTTAAAACACAAAATGTACAAATCCATTTAAATTATATTTTAATCACACTTTCAAAAATGATTTTTCTTTAAAATAATTTAAAATTCTCTTATTCCCGCTCATACATTCTCGTGGAAAAGAAAAGAAAAAGATCCAATGTTGCGTTTAAAACTTCACAAGTTCTTCTTCAATTTCCTAGATTTCTTGCTGGTTCTTTAAGAGACACAGGCAGTGAAATGGCAACATCTCCAATGGAAGTTTCACATAGTACACCGAGGACATGAGGAAAACAAACTTCTTAAATAGCATGTTACACTCTCTCTCACACTCCCACACACAACTTGGTTTAATAAGTATCTCGCGTCATGGGCAAGCAGCGAACCCTAAAATTCGAAGGTTCAGCAGGTGTACCGCCGTCGCGACGCAAGCTGGGTCGTCGTCCGTGGAAGGCCCGCTCGTGGCCCGTACACGGCCCGCAATGTGCCCGCTGGCTGGCGCGAACGGGCGTCGCGACGGGTCCGCACCAGCGCCTGCTCGCACCCGCGCTGGGGGGTGTGGAACGCGCAGCGCGGAGACAGGGGCGTAAGCAGCCACCCGCGCGCGCGCGTCGGCCCGCCCGCCTCGTCACTCCCTCGCTCTCGTCGCTCCCTGCCTGCCCCCACTCGCTGGGCAGCGCCAGCGTCATCGCATCACACGAATCCTGCGGGCTACAACCGGCGCTCCACTGCCCCAGCTCCACTCATGTGACCCGTCGCATCGACCTGCCGCTTCCAGGTGACTGACTCTTTGTCGCTACGAACCGTCTGTTGTGCCGCTCCCCACCCAACCCTCCCCTGGACGCGCTGAGCCTACGCTTCTCGCCTCTCGCCACCAGTTCCGTGCTCGTCTCGCCTCGCCTCGCCTCGCCTCGCTCGCACCTGGTGGAATGGACTTGCTCATCGTTTGAGAAGCTTTTTTCTCGCGCCGGTGCCAGGGTTTAGGAGAGTTTTAAGGTTTGCCCGCTTGTGTCCCTTGTTTTGTGTTGGTGCTAGTTTGGTTGTTCATGCGAGTGGTTGGGGATGTCTTGATTTTGGTATATTTTTTTTTAAGTAACTTCGAGGCTGGTGTATGTTTGGGTTCTGTTTGGTTTGAAGTTGTAGCACTGCCGTGGTTGTATAATGCATGGGGTTATTATGCATCTTGATCTGGGGAGTTTCTAGTGTGTGTCGTGGATGCGGATGATTTTGTGCATGGTTTAAATGAAGTTTAGGCGCCTCGTGAGGCCTTTCGGTTGTTTGGTACCGCAAATCTACCTGAATTTTTTCTCAGCTTTGTGGCGTTTTTCTGAACTTTGGCTTGACCTGTATGATTTCAGAACAGAGCATTCCGGTAAAATCTCCTGAGTCTCCCCAGTACGTGCTCTTTAGCATAGCATGTGTGAATGGCTCTTACAGAAGCGTCCATCTGCTGCCATAATTACATCCCTCCCAGGTTGCAGATGGTATCGCTTTAGAAATTTTATGGTGGTTCTGAGTTTTGATGTCCTTCCGTGAACGATACGTAGTTCTGTATATTTTTGAAGTCTTTGGAGTACGTAAAATTGCGTTTCCGTGAGTCTATTTTTGCAACTCGGAATTGCGTGTAAGTCGTCCCTCTAGATTCTCATCCATCATCGCGCGTTTTTGTTTATGTTTAATTTAATTTTTTTCCTTTCTTTTCTTTTCCTTTCTTTTTGAAGCCATGGATAAGGGTTCTACACCAGCAAAGACAAAGCCCGTTCCTAAGGACTCAGATGACGAGTCAGAGACCAGCGATGAGGAAACCGAGGACGAGGAGCAGGCCGAGGGAGGGTCTGAGTACGAATCTGAGAGTGACGAAAGCACCGATACTACTAAGAAAAAGCTGACTAGTATACTACCTACTAAGCAGCAGGTACATTTCTTTTTTCTACATGATTCAGTATGATAATTCTTGTTGAACTTCTCAAGTAGTTCTCTAGTGTCATCTTCATCACAGGCACTTGGATCAGACTCTAGGGGATTTTGTAATGGTGTACCCTTGCATCTTGTGATGTGCGTATATTACTGCAATCAGTAGCACATATTTAAGCTCTTCAGTTCCGGTTTAATTGGAAATTCTGGAACAGTCGGCCATCAAAGCATCTGCTCCTGGCGCTCCCGGTAGTCCTGCGAAGAGGACACGAGAGGCCAACTGGAAGAAAGACAAGGAGGATGAGCCTCTAATTAAGAAAAAGAAGCCCGAGGTGGCAGCCTCTGCAGCGAAATCAGCATCTAAGGTATTAATTCACGACTTTGTTTTCATGATTTTGATTCTCATTTGACTGCCGTATCTCCCTAATGCTGCGTGGACTCGATTCGGGATTAGAACCGATTTTATCCCTATGAACTTGAGAGGATGTTCTAAATTCTCTTTCACTTGACATATCCTGCTTTATGTAGTATATTTCTTCCTTAACATTAACATACTGATCAATAACAAGGAGGTCCGAGTCAATACTACTGTAGGGGTCTAAGGCCTCTGCATTTACCCTATCTTACTTGTGGCAGATCTCCATTATTCCATTGATGCAATACAGTAAAGCTCTCATCGAATTGTATCGTAGATCAATGGTGATTAATCTGGACTCAGCACCTCTTTTAAAGACTACAGGCTACTCAGATCTGTTGAAAAATCTTTATTCGAAGATCTGCCATCTTGGGTAATCCTGATGGTAAAATGATCCACCAGATCTGAGTTGGGGTCTCTGAGGAGTGAGTCAAAAAGTTTTGTATAGGATTTTAGTGTGGTATTCGTGTAGTGGAATCAAAGGTTCGGTCCATGGAGATCCACCACAAGACATCTTCAATTTGGGTCGGATAGACGACGTCTTAAAAGTTCTTATTTATGGGCTGCATTTATCACTGGTGGAATCAGCTGGGACAAACTAAATATCCATTATAATCGGCTGTATCACGTAAAATCCTTGGTCCCATTTGTGCTTCGTGGATGCCCCCAGCTTTCAAAAAAAGTTGGAATCTTTTCGGGGTGTTAAAGATCTCTGTTCAGAACTTGGTCAAGTTTGTTCATTGTTTGTTTACTGTTTACTGTACTGATGTGTCGATTATTGGGATTCAATTCAGTAAGTAGATTTCCTCTTCGTTTATCTGCTGAGTGATTTTCTGATCGGATGTGCTTACCCTGAGCAGACAGTTTTATGTTCCGATATTCACATATGTTCCGATATGTTCAGAGCCCCATTGGTCTGGGATTTGCTGTGAGCGCACTAGCCTTAGTTTTTCTCACCATCCGCTGAGTTTTTCCCTCACATATTGCTGCAAATTTGTTTCCAGCCAGCAATTACTCAGACAGAGAAGAAGAAAGAAATTGCTTCTAAAACAGAAAGAGCCAAGTCTGCACCAAAAGAAAAACAGTCGAAAGAGTCTGCGGAGAACGATATGAAGAAGTCGGCGAAGAGGAAAGCTCAGAGTCCTGCCGCTAAGTCCGACAGCGCAAAGCCCACGTCGAGCAAGTCTGATGTGAGTATTATGTGAATTGCACCTGTAGTCTGGGCACTTTTTCAGAGCTCTGGTGACATTTCTCTGGATTGTTGAAGTGGGTTAAAGACAAATCTAATGAAACGCCGCTTTGGTGTTTAGACTGCTCGCACCTTAATTTTTTCAATATTTTCAATGTACGTCTGCAATTCTTGGGTCTATTCCTTGATTATGCAAGTCAATCTGCGTTTCCTTGATTGCTAATTGTATTCTCCGATCTACGGTGCTTCCCAATCGCAAACCTTGCTGTACTTCTGAGTTGTAACAGTTGGCACGACTTTTTACTTTTAGGGAGAAACACCACAGAAGACAGCTAAGCCTTCTCGACCATGGTTGCCTGAGGAGGAAACTACCCTCTCAAAGGAACTTCAATTGGATCGCGTCAATAATGTTTACGGAAATACTCTTCCAGCTGCTCGGGCAGACCCATATTGGGAGAAGCTAATGAACAAGCTTTCGTTTATGGACAAGTACGATTCTAAGGAACAACGAATCGAAAGACTTTGTGAAAAGGTTAGGCGCATGAGATTACGTTATGAAGCTCTCTCACAACGCATTCAGGCGGGTGAAACAAATGTCTGGAAGAACGAACATGAAGGGACGTTGTGGCGAATCTGGCATACCATTTGGGGCCCAAACAAGGTAGGTCTCATGTTTTTTGTGCAACTAACCCTGGTTGTGTTTGTGGAGCATGTAAACCATTGTTTGAATCATGTTTGATGCTGCTATTAGTCATCTCAGTAATAAATCTATATGTCTGGGTCTGTATCTGTTTCTCTTAGTCACTTCTTAGTTTTGGCACCTCACATACTCAATTCTTCTGTTATGTAAAATCTGCTCAGGCCACAGCGGGGATGCTGAATGGTGATGACGATGACGATGAAGAGGAAGAGGAGGATGACGAGGACGAGGAAGAAGAAGAGGAAGAGGAAATTGAGCCGACGCAGATCAAAGGACGTCAACCTACTGCAGGTAATGCCACTGCACAGAAGAAAGCTGTAAGCAAGAATAACGAAACTAGTCTCAATGGACAGCCTTCAGTGAAGGGAACTCCACCAGCAGTACCAGCAGCGCCAGTTGCGTCGGCACTTCCTGCAGATCGTGCAACAGAAGCTACCGTCGCGGCAGAAAAACAATCCTCAGCCTCAAAAGCTGTTCCAGTTAAGGAACCTGCTCCCACTGCAATGGAAGTGGATTTGAACACGTCTGGAAAAGACAATTCAAATCGAGGTGCAACGCCCAATGGTCACGTAGTAACTCCTCCGGCTGAGCAATCAGCTAAAGTAGTCCTTAGTGATGAGTTACGGGCGGAGAATCTTGCATTCTTACGAGATATGAGGAGCACCTGCATAAAGATGGTCGAGGAAGCCAGGACTCAAAGCTTAGTCATATCTGAGAAGATGCTAGTAGAAACTCGTGCCAAGACTACTCAAATAGTTGAGGAGGCTAGGGAGAAGAGTTCCCAGATTATGGAAGAATTGCGCTTGGTTGCGGAGAGACTTGGAGCAGTTGCTGGACAGGGTGGACGGATGAAAGGTTCAGGAATGGGAAGCTGGACTGACTTTCCTGAGACCTCGTTTCCAGGTATTATGATGGTTTTTCTTTTAGGTCTTCGTTCAATATTGATTGTTTGACACTAGATTTGTAAAAGGCATTTGAAGTGATGTTTTGTTGCTGGTTGTCTGCACAAGGTAACATCATTTCAGGACTTTCACTCCTGCTTGATTAGTGGCAGATAAGTATTCTTAATGACGTTGCGTGTGTGAACAGCCCGGAATCTTCTTTGGTTACCTTTGGGAGAGCAGAATCCACTGGAGGACAAGTGGCATGAACAAAGCGAAGCTGAACAAGTCCTGCTTCTGAAGAGGTTGCAGCTTGTACAAGAACAGGCACGAATTCAGCAAGAAAGCATCCGGTTAAAGATTAGTCTACAAACTCAACAGAGCAAAGAAAAGTAGCTTTTTCTTTTATTGCTTTTTTTCATTTGAGATCCAAATGTACGGCTCCATCCCTTGGTTCATCGAAGCGAGCCTTATTAAATTTGGATCTATATATCCTGCATATTTTTCTGGTTTGTGTGATACTAAGAGCAAAAAGCAGCAGGCTTATAATTATTTTTAACGCCTCAGCTCTGATCTCCAAAAATGGGGCATTGTCGATGCTTTCTGTTGTTATTAACGAGTTGCAGCTTTGATATTTGACCACTAATGTGCCTCAGCGGGCCTCATTACGTTGGTCACCATCAAGATGACTTGGTTTTGTTTTGTGGTGTTAGTTTGACAGTGTCTCTGCTTTCTTTACAGATTTTCGCCCTTGCTATGAACATGTTTCCCGTGAGTCATCCACTTTGTTGTAAATTTGGGATAATATCTCAAGGTTGTTTCTCGCCTTGGTTCCGCACTACAATTCAGGGTGGAAATACCATGCCTCACTTCATGGCGCTCATAATTCTCTTTCGTTCTCTAAAGCAATAATCTTTTTTGATCTAATTCCTCGTCAATAGTATGTTCTACTTCACCAGAATGCATCTTCTATTTAGTCATTTTAGAATCTTAAATTTGGAGTCTTCGATTTTTATGCAGTTAGTATTTTAAACTCCTTCCAGTGCCTAAATTGTTTTGCACTCTAGTGAATATAATCTTTTATTTTACCATCACACGAGTTGTATGATCGTTAAAGAATATATAGCCATGGGTGAATTTCACCCCCCTTAAACATATTCTTTTGTGTCATTCCTTGTTTATACATACACTAAAATCTTCTCATCACGTTGTGTATTACTTCTGTCCACTGCATAACAATCATCTTTTGTGTCATCAAATCACATTGTCTTTAATACTAAATCCTCAAGACGTTATGTACATATAAGTACACATTTATAAATTGTAAATATCAATTTTTTAATTTACTTTAGCTTTCATAATATATCGTATGAAAAGCTTTTTATGCATTTATAGTTGGCAAAAATTTCTATCCTTGGACTGCTACCAAAAATAGTTACCAAATTCACAAGTGGACACTAGTCAAAGTAGAAAACCTGTTCTCTAATCTATCTCACTTATTCTTCAAGTGAAAAATTTACTAAAAAGATTTCACGTAGTAGATGTGGATCTCTAGAACCCAAAGGTCACCAATTCAAAACTAACCAATTGAAATATGATAGCAATATACTACTCTTTCTTATCACATTGTTTTAATGCACAGCATCTTTTCTTACACTATTTCCACCTTAGGCCCTTGTGCTATACTTATTATTTTGAATTAAAAATAATAAAAATAAACAAGCAATTTTTTAAAAATTAAATTAAACCTAAACTTAGACAAATATTCATTTAAAGAAACCATCTTTCAAAGTACTTGCTGGGTGACAATATTAGTACTCTAGGTGGAAATATCAATTCCTTCATGTGATAGCTTATGACACTTTAGTGTACTAGAACTGAAGCATTATAGTACATGTAATAACCAAGGATTTTTTCAAAAACTAAGTCGAGAAACTTGTATTTCTGGGCTTCACCCCAACCGGATGCAGAAATAGATCTCTTCGGAAGAATCATGATTCCTCTTCTACCACCAAAGAGATGTACCAGACTTTCGCCATCTCTATCTCCCTGGCATCTGTCCCTTAATAGCTGGAGCCTGACATAACCAAAATAACGCAGTCGCAAGCAAAACCTAAACGAGAGATCAAGCGCTCGAGTCCTCAACTTCTTCATCGACTGCAACGAAGACTCAGCGGTGCATAAGGACGGAAGAAAAGAACTTTGCTTAACAAAGATCGTAAAACAAAGTGCAAGTGCACGTACCTGCAACAGCCGTCCTTTTGTTGACTTCTATTCCAGCAGCACACTCCATTTTGTCGATAGTCACGCCCAAACCCATTGCCTACAAGTACTCCACCAGTTGGGCCACAAGGAAATCGACCATGGAAACCTGGTTAATGTCTGAACACCAGATAATACACAGCTTTCGGATGAACAATAACTTCTAAGAACAAAACCGCGAACACCAAAAGAAGTATGGTAAATAGAATATTGCAATTTGAGCTTCATTTGCAACGGAAGTTGAGCTCAACCTGATATAACTTCTCTCAGGGGGAGGATCTTGTCTGCCCAAGTCGAGCAGCTGGAGCAGAGCAAAGCTCACAGGAGTGCGAGGTCTGGAGAGCAATGATGTTACACAAGCTTGAAGACCGTTTTACCACAAGTTTGAGCTGCAAGTAGAATTATATCAATATAGCAATTTGTATAGTCCTTATCAGTATCCTCCCCCGTTGAAAGTTGAAGTTAAGCGGCAGTGGAAATAGAGCTGTTAAATGTACCTGAATCCACAAGTTTCAAAACGTACAGCAGAAAGTGGAGGTGAAACTCACAATGTGGAATATATGAAAGATTACCTCCCTCACACACAGAACAGTAAGCCGTCAACTTTAGTAACGAGTTAAACCAATTTATTATTTACCATGCCAGCTACTGTACACGAGGACTTTACGAGAAGTCATCCCAATGATGACTGCTTCTGAGTAAATTTAAATGCTACAATGGACAAATTTTCATTCAGTGCAGTAAAGCCTTCTAGCACTTTTTCAAGCTTGTGGTTAACACGCTCTAGAAGGTAAAGTTGGGGTTGCCGACCATCATCTAAACTGTTTACTCTTCTCTCCACGTGCTCCATATGTTGCATCAAGAGATCCATCATGAGCTCTGCACGGAACTTCATGGCCTCCTCTCTCTTCTCGGAAACCTGTAGGGCCAAGTACCACCAAATCATTTCGTAAGGCTTCCACATTTTAGAACATTGTGCTCGAGTACAATGTAACTTAAATGGAGCTATAACATGTCCTCTGGGAACAATTTGAAGGCCCTTAACAACGAAAAGCTCATTTAGGTCATGGATGTACGCGGCTTCTTAGAAACGATATACCCGTATACAAGACTTGTAAAAACAGGCGAAAACTGGCTATTACTTTCGTAATCTTACAACTAATACAAATCCACGAGCAGCAAAGAAGCAACTTCAGTTTATCCTGATTGCAAATCTCACCTGAAGCTGCGCTTGCATAAGCTGCTGCATATCCCTTAGTGCATTGCCGCAATCTTCAACTTTGTGTTTCCCCGGTTGTCCATCCTTGCCAACAACTTTCCACGAGAAGTTAGGGCCTGATGCCTTCGGGTCACGGGAGGAGGCTCCCCAATCTTTGACACCACCAGTCTTTGTTGAATTAGAATTTGTCACGATACCCTGTTTCTTCCCAGAGACCTCAAACCAAACATCGTAAAACTTCGGCTTTAGAAGTTCTCTTCCTGCTATGCTGGGATTCCAGGACGGATCAGAGCGAGCAGCTTTGGCAGACATGTTCCTGTCATCAACAATTATCGAACAAAGTTAACACATAAATCTGTAACTCAATCCAGGACAAACCTTCCATAACTTCAATATCAAGAAACAGAGAGGAAAACGGAAGGAAAAAAAAGAAAAAAGAGAAAAAAAAAAAAGAAAAAAGCGCATCCAACCAGCACGATTTTAAAATGGATCACATTGCTGGATTTTATTACCTGTAATCTGCACACTCACGCCTCACGCTCCAATATTTGCTTTGGCATTGTTTCTTAGAAAAATGCCTTCCGAATTTATCTTGCATGGCCTTCAGTATAGGTGTCCATTTCTTCTGATACTTGACATGGCCATTACTTTCTTTCCACAGCCTTTGGTGTATGGCATCATACGTTTCAAAAAGGAACTTAACAGATTCATCTGTCCATGTGATGTTTCCATCAGCATCCTGACCGGCACGCTTTCTTTTCTTATTCCAGCCCTCCTCGTCCTTGTCTGAATAATCACTGCTAAATCCAGAGTCTGATGAAGATGCCAGGAACTCCACGTTTAGATTCTTCTCCGACAGCCCAGCACCACAAGCTGCAGAACGTTCCCGCCGGCTGTGTTTGTGCTTTTCCTTTCTCATCTGTGAATGCCAAAAGATTGTGATGAGAATGAATGTAAAAAATACCAAGAACATGACCTTTTCACTTTTCTCATTCTGTTCCAACTTTGGAATTAATCCCCAAGCCACGATGAGAAGATAACAATGCTAGATTCAAAGGAAGACACCAAATACCGACGCTTCGATATCTAATGCACTATTACGATTTCTGGTAGGCATTTCTCACCTTGAAACCATTTTTCGACGAATTCGATGGCTCTCCATCAGCCCTAAACAAGTCACTTTTTTCTTCTCCCTTCTCGTTGCCTGAATTCACAAGACGACGAAGTTATGATTCGAAACTAAGTCAGAGTACTCTCGACAGGACAGCATTCTTGTGAAGTCGCCTTCAACTCAACACTTCGTCGGCATGCCTTCTGGGACTTAAGGAGAAAAAAAAAAAAAAAAAAAAAAAAAAAAAAAAAAAAAAACTCTCCTACAATTTGAAGGAAAAAGGGAAAGATCTTTTGAAGACACCCCACTGTTAAGAAAACTGCAATATGAGACACAGAATATACACTAAGCACTCGGAGTACTACACAGAGTGTTATATACCGCTCTTGCCCGATAACTTTTTTTTACCAGTAATAGATTGAAAGCGCTAGAAACCCGACGAATGAGGATTTTCGTACATGAAATAGGAGGTCCTGTCGGCATACCTCTAAATTTCTTTCGAAACTTCTCTCCGGCATTCCCTCCTTTACGCGATTTCTCTTTCCTTTCCCGTCGACGACTCCCTTCCCCCTTACTCGAGTAATCGCTTTCACTCGAATCCCCACTCACAGACATTTCACCGTTCCGAATACCATCCCCATCACGCCCTATCCAATTCTCTTCTGCCGGCACTTGATGATGACCTAACGAATTCGACAGCGTAAGCCCTTGGTCTGAAATAAACCCAAGCCCCTGCAAAAGCGCTTGCGACTGCACTAAGCTCTGTTGGCTACCCAACATGTTCTGCCACCCACCAAGACCCGCCCCAAAACTCTGCATCGACTGCTGCCGTTGCTGTTGCTGCATTCCCACAGCATGCTGCTGCGGCGGCTGCTGCGATCCGAACATCTGCATCCCCGAGAACAAAGACGAATTACTGCCCCCATATGCACCACCACCTGAAAGCAACGCCATGAATTGGTCCCCCGACGACCGAGGCGCATCGCTCAAAGCTTCCACACCAAAATTATCCTGCCCTTTACCACCTCCGCCACCGCCACCACCACCGTTACTACCTCCCCACATCCCACTCCCCGACACCTGACGATCACTCTCCGTTGCAAACCCTTCTTCAAAGCTACTCCCGAATGCAGGATCCAGTACGAAGCTTCCCGACGCGACAGCTTCTGTATCGACACCCAACGGCCCGACCGCCCTCCGTCTGCGCGAGCGCGCGATGGAGTCATTCATGACGTCCCACCAACGCCGACTGTACTGCAATCCGGTCAAGTAGGCACGTCGTGGTCGCGACAGAAGTGACCCTCCGTGCACATCCAGGTGATGCCCACTGCGAGAGACACACACAGAGAGAAAGAAACAGGGATAAGGGGGCAATACAGGGAAGACAGAGAGTGACCGACAGTGTGAGAGAGAGAGCGTGTGTGAAGAATGGAGAGAGATAATAGCGTACAGCAACGGCCACCATGCAGCAGCACCGGTAGCAACAGCAACAGGCAGGGGGGATGCAAATCGGAATGCCGCTGCGGAATGGCTGCCGAAGCACCTCGCGATGTGCCTCCCTCCCTCCCTACCTCGCGCTGCCCCCTCTCCCGCTGCCCCGCCCTTTACCCTTCCTACCTTTGGTCGCCGCCCTCCCCTTCCCCCCTCGCTTTGCTTCTTCGCCTACGTGGGCCCTTCGTTCCCATGCACGTTTGACGCTTTTCCAAGTTGGAGGATCAATGTAGCTACACAATTCGTATATAATTAAAATTATATTGTTTACGAATATTATTATAATGTTTTTTTAGCCAAATTTTGGCTGTTTTAGCGTTCTGAGAATTTTTAGATCATTCATGGTTTTGAAAATTGTAGGGGAGAGGGAAGGGGGTTGTTACTTTGTGAAATTGACTAAAATGATTGTGTTTAAACTTTTGGGTGTGTAAAACCTCATAAATTAAAATATCCTCACTAAATGGAATCTCTTTTTTATCAATATAATTTTTTTTATTATTATCAATTATCATTATTTGTAATAATAAATATTTATCATTTAAAAAAAATCAAGTTATTGCATCAAAAATTAGATTTATTTTCTTAATTCATATCTGTGGATTTTTTACACTATAAAATTATATATATATATATATATATATATATTCATTGAATTTAAATGATTGCTTTTACATCTGCAATACAATAAAATTCTAAAAGCTCAAACACAAAATTATATATTAGTGATATAGAAATATCACTAAATGATTGAATTAAGCTATAATTACTAAAAGCACTATGAATTAAAGTTTAAAATATCAAATTACTTATTATTTTTCTAGTTGGTTTGGTAAATTTGAGGCATCATAAAAAAAATCGTGTTTGTCAATTAAAATTGATTAAACATGATAAGTTTGTATTTATTTACAAATAAATAAAAAATTTCCACCAAACATATTAAACAAGACTTGTAAATCCTACTGCAACTTTTTTCCTTGTTATTTTTTTTAGATATGTACTTCATGCCCTATCTAAAATTAATATTCCTGGAATTTCTTTGATGTTGTCAATGACTGTTTTTCAACAGGATTTCAATCATAAAAACTTGATAGGTTCCTGAAAAATTGGAGAACCAACATATTTGACTTACAAGGGTTGAATTTGACAATTGTGTTTCGTTTCAATTTATTTGTATTTATTTACATGTGTGTATATATATATATATATATATATCCGCATGTTTTGAAAATGTATAATGACATATTTTGTTGCTAAATCTTACATCTTTTAGAACTACGATTTAGAATACATGGGTAAAAAAATAAAAATAATACAATGTAAGTTACAGTGGTCCTGAAGAACAACTTTCATTTTGAAAAACGCCCTCCATGACTTAATTGGATTTTAATCATTGTAGACAGTAATGTATGAAAAATAGTACGTAGTTTAAGGTTTAAATAATTATGGGCTCCATACAATCCAAAAAGACTAGGTTCAATATGAAGAAGTTGTAGTATGAAAGATATACCATTTGTTTTTGAAGAAATTTTGTACATATAGAACATTAAAGTAAAAAAGACAAGTTACAAAGAGTTGTGACAAGTTAAAACTTTATACATTTTTCCAAATACAATTTTATTTATTAACAACAATTAAATAAATAAAACATATAACAACATATAATATATATAGATATAGATATACATATTAGTATAAACTTGTTCTATTGAGCACATAATAGTTGTAACATTTCAATTTGTCAAGTCACAAATCAACAACTCTAAAAGAAATATGAATCCAAAAACAATAAAACAAATAAAATTTTGAATAACAATGGAACCATTAAAATTTCTTCAATATTTTTGGTAAAGGAATTTTTTAATTACTTCAACAACTTAAATAGCTAATATTTAGAGAATTTCATTAAGAAAAGTCAATATATAACTTTTTCTATTATCTTAATTATCTAATGAGAAGGCTTCTTTGTCTCAATGAATGATTTTTTAATCTATTTATCTTACAACTAAGTACAATTAGAATTGCCTTGTTATTGTAAAGATTTTTATCAAACAAAAACGATTATATATATATATATATATATATATATATATATATATATATAACTATTAAAAAATATTTAAGAATATACATCAAAAAAATTTATTATGAAAAGATATTATTATATTTCTATTAAATTAAATAAAAATATTAGATATTTGATATACAATTATAATCCAAAAAAATTACAAAAAAAATTATTTTATAAATATAAAAACCAACACTTATATTTAAAAAAAATTATTTTAATAAGTACAAAAATTAAAATAAATGAATTTAAATAAAATAATTTGATATTGATATGATATATTTATGTGAATATATATGTATATATTTTTTGATCTTTATTTTATTTTTGAAAACTATTATATTTTAATTTTTTAAAAATAAAATACATAACTTAAAAAAAAATTCTTTAGATGTAATAATTGTTGTTGTTGTTGTTGTTGTTGTTGTTGTTGTTGTTGTTTTTTTTTTTTTTTTTTTTTTTTCTTTTTTCTAATTAAGATTTTGTTACCTTCTAAGTAAAGTCTTTAGATTCATTAGACTTTTTATATTTGAATAATTGGATGTCCTTGTGTAATAGAAGTGTCTAAGCAAGAACTTTCTAAAATCCTAATTCTATTGAATTTCTAGAATGGAATAAATTGAAATTAAAAGAAAAAAAAAGACAAGGATAAGGGATTTAGAATCAACACATTGATGCCATACTATAGATTTGGAATTTATCCTTGCAATGGAATTTGCATCTATAGAACACCTAGCAATATTTTTCATAATGAAATTAACTAAATATAATCAAATTATTAGCTAAATTAAGTATCCTTAAGATAATTATATAATATGAATGAGTGATATTATCACCATCTATAGTAACACTCTTATTATGTAAATAAAGATTATTACACACAATATATAAAGTACTACAAATCAATCACAAAGTGTACAATCTAAATCAAATATAAATGCACAATCAATACACTTTCAAAGAAAGATGATAAATCTACACACAAATAAGTGAAGTTATTTCTCAATACAATGGATGAATCTAAAAGTACAAATGTAAATAGAAAAAAAAATCCTAAAGCTTTATTAAATAATTAAATTACCATAGCTAAGTATACTCTTACAACACAAGCTTTTTCTCTCTCAAAATTATTCTTAAGACTTGACTTGATAAGAATGTTAAATCAAGGGAGTTTTTCTATTTAAGTCTTCAAATCTTAGTCAATTTCAACAAAGACAACCAACAAAAAAAACTAAGTAGATAGAAAAATACTAAATTAAAGTAAATTATAAGGTAAATGGCTTGGTTGAACTATAAGACAATACATCCTCAATGCAAAGAATTGTGAGTCTTGCCTTAATATCAAATATTGAAGGCACCTCATATTACAAATACATATAATTTCATTTGGAGAATTTCTACAATTGAGGTCAATAAGCTCTACTACAAATGCAAGCATATTATAAGGTACCACAATGTTAAGCAATAAATAAATTTTTTATAGCCATAAGTATGGCTTTCTTAAAAACTCTATTTCATCTTCTAAACATTGAATCAAAATATTAAGGTCAATTAAGTTTATAATTAGAGCTAGCTTCACATGCTTTGAACTTAGTAGAATTTGCTTTTATCCATATGATGATTGATAAAGACTATAAAATGCCAAAGATATTTGCCTACTAAAATAATAATCAATTGCAATCTATGGCAATATCAAGTTTCAATCAAGCTAGTTGCTATGAAATAATGTATATTTTCATATGTCATACTTGTCAATTTGAACAACCCGTTGTCAAGAAGGTGAACCTCTTCAAAAGAATATGGAGTCTTTGATTACAAGTAGATTGCAAGAAGGTACAATGTTGTCTCAAATTAAATATAAAAGGCAGCCCAAAGACTAGGTACAATTTATAGATTAATTTCTTTCTTGTACTAGGATGTACCTAATTCTTATTCTAATCTTAAATCCAAACCTCTTTTCACTAAAATATCTATAATTTACTTATTATTAATTCAATTTAGATAAAGTTTATCTCATTGAAAATTAAAAAAAGAAAAATAATGAAGAAGAAAATCTAATAAATAGCATAAAAAACTCCAAACCAATCTTGAAATTTGCTGTTCAAAAATTCTAGCAACCTCTTCCCACAAATTTGCTTGAATCTCCCTCATCATATCTTTATTTTTTGCATGCTATAGCTTGTTTTTTGCATGCTATATCACAATTAGATCTAATTATCCTCTAAATATCAATATAAAAAGATAAAAATATAAGAAGTAGTATAGAAAAATCCAAATCGATGTTGAATCTCTTATCTCAAAAACTCCTATGAAAAAAAGATCCTACTTGATTCCAAAATCCCTGCCCTAAATTTCTTCCAATACCAGCCTTAAACCACTATATAGTTGGATATCTATCCTAAAAGATAATACCTTCAAGCTCAAATAATTCATTTAAGCCAACAACTTCTTATTCTAAATTCCATTAAAATTTGTAAATATATTAGTATTATTTTTTTCTTCTCCTACCAATGAAATTAATTACCTTCTAAATAACTTTGATGCACTTAAATTAAGTGCATCACAATATTCATCTTCTCTAAACCTGTACATACTCTAGTATGTGCCAAAGAATTAGACTACAACACCACTATCATCTAAATCAAAGTCATTGTAAGTTGTATCACTTTTGAATCATTGATCAAAATATTGAGGCTCAAAAGCCTCTAAATCTTATATATAATTCATGTCATCTTATTGCTTAAAGACTTTAATTCATTTTTTTATAATTCTAATCTTTAATTGTATTCCATCTAATTTTCAAAGAGAATAAATTGTATTATTATGGACTTCAAGTGCCATATTGGATTCTAACCAATGCCATAAAAACTTATAAAAAGTAGAATGTTGGTCCATCAAACTACTATCATAAATCAAAATTCAATCATCTACTTTAATTGGCTTAGGCTTTAACCAATGAGTTTTATCAAACTTCTCTTTGTTATTCAATCTTACTACCTTAAGCTTCTCTGTAGCAACTTCATGATCCTTGAGCAATCTTTTTAGTTGGTAAATTTGAAGTTCTAACAATCTTTTCTTGTCAATGTCATCTTCTTAAGACAAAAACAACGAAGAAAGAATAGACTCCTATGTAGGTATTAAGGATTTTTGTTCCAATATCAACTTCACTAGTATATAGGCAATAACTGTGCTATGAGTGGTCCCATCTGCCTATAAAGTAAATGACAAATTCTTGAGCTATAATCTTATTTGATTCCTACATGCCTTGAACAAAGCTTGAATGATTGGACAATACATCCTTTCATTCTTACTATTGGCTTTGAGGTTGTAGGAGGTTGATAATTTTAATTGCACCTTATATCTTGTGAAGAAATCATGTGCATCTATTGTATCATATTCATCCCAGTTTACTTTCATTCTTCTAATGCTTCTATAGCAACATATAATATCTTCCAAAATAAATCATTACACCACTTCTATAGACTTTGACCTCAATGCCCTTTCTTCTACATAATTAGAGAGTTCCTTTCTTACCAAAAGTAAATACTTTATACTCTAGAGTCCCATTGGCATGGCAACCAAATCAATTATCCACAAAAAAATAAATGGCAAGTAAATATGTAGGCCATAAATCATCTCTATATCTCATCTTGGATTATAATTGAGACTCTTTATAAGAGTTCACAAACTCTTCTACATCCTTGTATAAGCCCTTCTATCAATAGTGTTCTTTGATCTTGATATAGGTAGTCCAAATTCCTATATGTCTAGCCCATAATGTATGATGAAACTCACCTATTATTTTAAGTTTGGTCCCTAAATCATTTACTCTTTTGAATAGCATACTATCTCTTTTCTTTGATTTCTTCCACAAGGACCCATAATGTAAAAGATAGTTATAGGATTGGTGCCTAATATCCTTAAAGGTCTTATTCAACCAACCTTCTTACCTCTTTATTATACTTAAATATAAGCCAATGTCTCTCAACCTCTTTTTATACAAATCAATTTTGAAGGGTAGAATCTCATCACCTTAATTTTTTCTATTTGTAGCAAATATAAAGCCTTGAACCAAATCTCAATCTTCTTCTTATGCAAGCATTTTTTTCCTTCTCTTTTGAGTACTTAGTCCTAAACAATGTATCCACCATCAAGTTTTTTTTCTATGATATACATCAAAATAGGATTTAAAGACTTAATGAAATTAATTATTTTAAGCATAATAATATTCAATGTAGTATAATTAAAAACCATTCCAAGAAAAAAAAAGCAATCAGTCCCTAATACCACATGAGTACCTATTAAGTAATTTTTCTTAGTCTTTAATGTAATAAGTGCACCTCAAAGCTCTTTTTTCACTTGTGAATAAGCTCTTTGACTCTAAGTGAGAATCCTTGTTCTAAATCTAATTACAAATCAATTATCTTTCTTATTATCTTATCCAATTGCCCACCTAGTGGCTAGGAGACTTGTGTCAATTGTCACTACCACCAGTCTTCCACAATTATAGTCTACTTGCCTTAATATTGATGGTGATTTCAAAACCACTTTTAATCTATCTATGGCCAACTCTTCTTCTTCATTTCATGCAAACTCTTTTCTTTCTGTCAATAATTAATACAAAGGCTCTGCAATATGAATATAATGGAAAATCCATATATAATAAAATATACAAGCATCAAAAAATCTTCTTATCTTTGTGCTACTCATACATGATTTCATCTTTGTTATGGTATCTATCTTATCTAGGTTTGATTTTCTTCTATAGCTTGTGTATAAATGTCTAACAACTATAATTTTTTAAAATCCTAATATGGACTTTTCAAGAAATAAAGTGAGATTTATTTCTTTAAGTCTTTTTGAAATGTATTCTACATCTTTAATATATTCTTTTATAAAATGTACAGCATCCATCATCTTCAAAAGTCAAATCTTTAGTCTTATCCTTACAATCTTTTACTGAAACATCATCTAAAAAGAATATAGTTTTTTTGGTGCAAATTTTTTTAAAATTTGATTCATTGTATTTTATATATAAGCCACAAAATTAAATGCACCTTGTGGCAAGATATACATGCGTATTAGATCTAAAAGAGTCTTTATAGTGATTAAGTCTCTACTCTGCTCTGCTAATTGAAATTGATCATAATCCGAGTATAAATTCCTACTAGAGTATATAACATGCCTATCAAAAGCTTTTGGTACTTGTGATTGCTAGTTTTACTTATTTCAAATTAATCTAATGGAAATAAACCCGTATAGGGGGATTCAAACATGGGGAATGACTAATTGCTTAAGCATTCATGTTAGGGTCACACAATCAATTACCTCTTGAATGTATCGTCTCTATTTCCAATATCTGAACACATAAAGAAACTATAATCTCTTCCTTCACCTTATCGGTCCCTTCCTTACAACAATTTAGTCATACCAATAACTGCTATTTCTACCAATATATTCACCCTCATAATCTCCAACTGTAATACTACGTCCTCATAGCTTTCAGCACACAATTACCCTCATTCCAATCACTCGAATTCTTCACATAGAACTGCCATTCACATTACGGTGTTTCACACAAATACAAACTCATTCTCTCTACTGAACTACAATCAGATTTCAGCATTCAATCTTTCTTCTTTTCAAATAATACTAATCACATTTTCATTCCATAATTCACTTCACAATATTCAGAAACTCTCAATCCTCTTATTCAAAGAAAATAACAAACAAAAGAAAAGAGGTAGTACCAAGCTTACCTCGGCTCACACTATCTTAGCAATGGTCCTCGGTTCATGACTATCATAGTCTGGCACCTTAATTAATTTCTACAACTCCTATATATTTTCCCCTGATTCTCCAGATTTTAACTGTAATTCTATAATTAACCACTTTTAAGAACTAAATCACTCATCCGTCTTTCTGAATTTCTTATTATATGGACTATTAATATATTTTATCAATATCTTTCAAAAACGAATTAATATCTATTCTACATAGCCCCACTCCTATCTGTGCATCGTCCTCGTAAACACTCAATTGATACCTATCTAAAAACTACTTAACAAATTTCCACAAAATTACTAGTTCCTCTGGCCTATCTAATTAATCAATTGTCGCAGTATTTGTTATTGGTTCCATCGATTCCGGTTCCAACTGCAAATCTTCGTCCTCCTCCAATCTTTCTATTAGCTCTTGCCTCAATTGAGCTAAAAGGTCTTCATTGTATTCGCCCAGTTCACGGACTTGAGCTTCCAATTTCAGGATCTGGACATCCCGAAGTTTCAATTGTTGCTGCTGCTGATTCATCCATTCTAGAATATCTTCAATCGACACTTATGACCGACTCCTCACTATTAACTCTTAATTGGAACTACTACTCTTGAAAACACAAGAAATATAAGAAAATGGCACTCTAGTCAACCCAAAACAATACCATAGAATGACTTTAACTGGTGCCCCACTCCTATTCTTTTACTACTTGGTGATAATGACAACATGTTATCCATACTGTCTATAAAAGGTAATGAGAAGTAATCTTTCGTGGTGGCTGCATTAAGTTTCCGGAAATCTTGAAAAATTCTGATTTTTTCATTCTTCTTTGGTACCATCACGATTGGCGACACCCATGTATTATGCGAAACAGGATAAATAAAATCCATGTCAAGAAGTTTATCCAATTCCTCTTTCACTAAAAGGAAATATTTTGGATTAAGCCGGTGTTATCTTTGATGAACTGGTGTAATACCCTCCTCCAAAATAATCTGGTGCTCACACACGTCAACTGGAATCCCTTTCAAATCCGCATACGACCATACAAAGGTAGATTTGTGATGGACGAAAAACTATTTTCAACCATCCAATTCTGTACCTATAATATCGGCATATATTTTAATTAGTTGTGGTATTTTGTTAATACCCAGGTTAATAGATTGACACACAAGGTCTTCAACAACCTTTGATTTAATTATCTTCTCCTGATCTGAATATCTTGTATTATTCGACATATGGAAACCATCCAAATCTGGTTCCAATGTGCTGACTCTATTGACTACAGAATTATTCATCCATTTGGCAATAGCATGATCCGAGTTAGTCGCATCCTTCTGATGCAGTAAATATTCATCGGGACCTCTACATTGGTAGACTACTGTCTTTGTTGTTGAAGTGTTTTGTCCTACTTCAAATTGCGGTGAATCTATAGCATCGTCATCTTCCTCAATCGATTGACTCTCGTTGTCTGATGTAAATTCTAATTCTGGCAATTGAGATTCTCCATGATATTGTACTGGATACATCTGTAAAATAATCTGGTCACGACCTTATTCAATTATCAATGTGCCTCGGTCCCAATCATTCTTAGCTTTGGCTTGATAAAGCCAAGGTTTGCCCTATAAAATGGGATATGATAATGTAGAACTCTGTAATTGAAATATAATATAATTGATTTTGTATGTCAATCCTAAGATTACAGTGGCAATATTTCGTAAGATTCCCATTGGCTTCACCCAACTATGATCTGCCATTTGCAAGACCAATGTCGTAGGTAGCAATTGCTTTAGATCCAAGTCCTCCATTGTATCCGCATTCATTAAATTCACACTGGAGCCACCATCGACTTGTACCCCTGGAATTAAAATGCCATCGATTGATACATCGATTGTTGGTGCTCTCAGATTTAGGATTAAGCTAACTTCATGAATTTCTTTAGTGTAGAATCTTCGTCATATTAGCGCTAAATTCAATTTAGATCGACATTCCGGTGCTACAGCCAAAAGTTGTTTCATTATAATTGAAGGCTGAATAACATCAAAATCGTTCAGAATGTCATAGGATTTCATATTGAGAATAATTCCAAATGTTCTTTTACATTTCATTGGTTTGAATTTAACTCTGTGAGGTAAGATATTCTTCCGCCCTATAATCAAAATTGGAACAGCAACTGGAGCTTCCTTGGAATTCCCGCCTACGAGAGGATCTTTCAACAGGTAGGACATTTCTTGGAACTGCGTAAAGATCAGAACTGCTTGGAATGAAACCGAAGTCTCTGTAATTGGAACCTCATTGGGTTCTGCCATCGAGTCAGGTTTCATACTAGGTATGAAGCTCATAACAAGACCTGGATTGGATGGTCCCCTAATTGGCACGTCGAACCAAATTGGATTCCTTAGTCTGTTGAGGTCTCAATATTGGGATACGTCCCAATACTCATATTGGTTCATTTAGCACCGTAGATGGTGCTACTTGCTCTCTTGCGATTAGTTCATCCATGTCCTGAATTGGATTCTTGTCTTTTTGTTGGCCTCTAGTAAGCATTGCGTTCACCACCTCGACACGATGTACTGGTGAGTCTCATTGAATAGGGCCTTTGTCCTCCGCTGGTTGGCTTGTTTGCATTTGCTGGTGCCGATTATTATAATTAAAGGGCGCATTACACTGTTGATAAGTGTGACCAGATTGCTTACAATTTCCACATATTAGAGCATAGTGATCACTAGCCCTTGGATTAGGACATTCACTCGCATAATATCTGATTTGTCTGTAACGATAGCAACGAAGTGGTCTCTTGCCAACTCCTTCAGGGATAATGGGTGTCTCTACTGGTATATAACGGCTAAATCTGTTCCATGTCAAATGATTAAAGGATCTAGGTTGACCCATTGTTACTGTAGAGTCTGGCATTGGCTTCATCATGGGTGGATATTGATGGTATCTTGATTGGTTCATCGCCAATCCGTGAGTATTGGATACACCTTCTTAGTAAAATTCAGAGTTGAGGAAATTAGAATAATTCCTATTTTGTTTATTCGCTCGATGTCCATTCCAACTAAACATATTATTTGTTTGTACTTGATTGACATCCCACGAAGTTGGTTGAGTCATTATCTGGTTACTGAGTTGTTGTTGCTTCCGTAAATTCTAACAGTTGGTGGTAATATGCTTGCCCCCGCAATAGGTACATTGTACAGTCATTTGGGGAGGTGAAGGACATTCTATTACTAAATGACCTTGCCCCTTACAATTGCTCCACTAGACATTGGGACGCACATTCATTGGTTTATGCCTTTTTTCTTTATCCTTGGCCAGATTCATAGCCAATTCATCCATTTTTTTTGTCAATGTTAACAGCAATGACTCATTGGGATCCCTTGATACCAATGCATTTGGCAATTCCTTTGTAGGTATTGTTTTCTCATACGCGGAATAAGGTGCATACGGATGTGATGATGATGGTAGTACAGCTTATAATGGAACGACATCCACTATTCCCTGTTGAATTGTACGATAATCATTCTTTCCCAGATAACTTCTCGATGCGTCATTCCAATTTGTCATTTGATAACCTCCTTGAGATGGAATCATCGTGGCTCCAACGGTTAAGTTCTGGTCATAGTGACATTCCTCCCATACTTTTGCTCGCTCAAGAGATGATGCAATAGTGGCTAATTGGGCCTCCTTTACAAACATCTTCAATTCTGGTGGGTGTAGTCCATTAATCAATATGGACAATACAAACGATTTTGACATTTGGTTATTTGGCCATTTTTGAAGTATATCTGCTACGTGACCATTATATGATTGTACCACTTCCCTTGGTACCATTCTCTGTTCATTAATTTTTCTCTAAGACGTTCTTCAAAACCAATTGATCGAAAATGGGCTAAAAATATATTTTTCAATGCCTCCCAAATGATAAATTGTCCCACACGTTGGCGGTTATACCACTCAAACGCTGTGTCTTTCAATGTCGCTAGCAGCCATCTCAGCCAAATATCTTCTATTTTGCCATTATTAACTACACATGCTATAAGAAATTGAGACAAATGTTGATCGGGATCCGCACCCAAAAATCCTCGAAAAGTAGGTAGTGGCATGACACTAGTCATATGATTGCCTAGTGCACCCATTTGTACTGCAATTGGAATGGTTGATCCTCCTGACGCCATTGAATTTCTTGTTCTGCTCAACTTCATTTTAAAATAATCTCTGCTTTCCCTTATTCTAATTTCTGAGCTCTCCATGCTCCTCGATTTACTGTTATTTTTTGCAATTAGTTTTATTAGTTGAATTATAGGTGAAAACGTCAGATTTTGAAATACAATATAGTTATCTTTATTGGCGACCAATTTGTGCCAATCTGAAGAGCCACTATTGCTCGTTTCAGCAATACACACTACTAAAAAAATATCCAATGGAGTACCAAATTCTTCTACACCTCCTTCTCTTTTAGTTAACGGCCTCAAGATTTCCACTAAAATGTTAACAAAATTTTCTACAAGTGTTCTTGGCAGTTTTTCTAATGGTACATACAATTGTAGAATTAACAGTTTGTCCAGTTCTTGATATGTTCGGATGCACCGACAAGCTTGCAACCATAGTTTAATCCAATTCTATCGATGCTTTCTTTTAAGATTATGTTCTTGCTCCTCTCTAAGCAAGATCCTTCTTTGCGCTCTTCCCTGTCTTTCTCTCAACTGATTTATTTTCCTCGATGCAATACTCTCATTCTTATTAACTATAATCTTGCTTCAAACACTACTAAAATTTTCTTCCATTGCCTATTTTCTTATATGCTTGGTAATTAATTCCTTACACTCAAAGCTATTATCACTCCCCAGCAGCAGTACTAAAATGTGATTGCTCGTTTTACTTATTTTGGAAGAAATCTCTCAAAATAAATCTGTATAGGAGGATTCGAATACGGAGAATGACTAGTTGCTTAAGCGTTCACGTTAGGATCACACAATCAATTACTTCTTGAATGTATCGTCTCTATTTCCAATATCTGAACACACAAGGAAACTATAATCTCCTCCTTCATCTTATCGGTCTCTTCCTTATAACAATTCAGTCATATCAATAACTGCTATTTCCACCAATATATTCACCCTCATAATCTCCATTTGTAATACTACGCCCTCACAGCTTTCAGCACACAATTACTCTCATTCCAATCACTGTAATTCTTCACACAGAATTACCATTCACATTACAGTGTTTCACACAAACACAGACTCATTCTCTCTGCTGAACTACAATCAGATTTTAGCATTCAATCTTTTTTCTTCTCAAATAATACTAATCACATTTTCATTCTATAATTTACTTCACAATATTTAGAAACTCTCAATCCTCTTATTCAAAGAAAATAACAAACAAAAAGAAAGAGATAGTACCAAGCTTACCCCGGCTCACACTATCACAGCGATGGCACTTTAATTAACTTCTACAATTCTTATATATTTTTCCATGATTCTCCAGATTCTAACCGTAATTTTGTAATTAACTGCTTTTAAGAACTAAATCACTCATCCATCCTCCTAAATTTCTTATTATATGGACTATTAATATATTTTATCAATATCTTTCAAAAATAAAATAATATCTATTCTACAATTATATTCATCCATGAAGATTCATCCAGTCTTTTATGTTTCACTTTTAGAAAGGTATAAAGAATTGAACATATCAAGTCAAAGACAACCACTACTTCCTATGGTTGAAATCAATGATCATGTTGAATTTGAGGTAGAAGAGGTATTGGATTTAAGTATAAGACATAGAAGGCTTGAATATTTAGTCAATTGGTATGAATATGATATCAATGATCATACGCAGGAACCACTTAGCGATCTTATAAATACCCAAATGAAGGTTCAAAAGTTCCAATAACAACATCCATCTAGACTAGAAGAGGAAAAATGAGGAACAATAGCTTGATAAGATGACTTCACCATGAAGATTCCTAATTCTTTGTTTTATAAAGAAAAAAAAGAGGCAGCTTCTATAAAGGCAAGTTTTTTTTAAATATTTAGAAGAGTATAATTTAATAGTTTGAATTCTTGACCATAGTATATTTATATTTTTTTAGTCTTATCTACTTTATATGATATGGATAGTCAAGAGATAGATGCCCTGTTGGTCATACCATCTCAACCAAGTAGCTTGTGGAGATGATCCCAAGATAAAGAGCGACCTGAACCATAAAGATATTATAGGATATCTAGTAATATTTGAAGTAGAACCTGCCTATGAAGGACGTCCAGAAGGAGTGTTTGTAGGACAATTTTATAATGAAGATATTGAAGTTTATGCTTAGTGACGAGTACAAGGCTTATGATACTATTGATGGCTACAGAGACCTCAAAGCTAGAAGAGGAAGTAATGTCATGAACATACAACTAAAGAAGATTTAAGAAGATTCTAAAAGGTTCTAGAAGATTTTAAGAAGATTTTTATATATCCTAGAAGGTTCTAAAAGATTAGAGAAGGTTCCATTAGATTCTAAGAAAGTTTTAAAAGATTATAGCAGATCTTAAAAGGTTCTAAGATGCTTTAGATTATTTACGAAGTTATTGATGAAAGATCTTAGGCTTCTTTTATTTCCAAGCTTCATGGAAACTTCTCAAGAAGCTTTATAGGACCTAGTATATATAAGAATCGAGGCTAAGGAGATCCTTAGTCTAGACAATTTATTTCTTGTGGTCTAGCCAAGACCTTCTGTCAAGGACAAGAACTCGATGAAAAAACAATTCAAACAAGTGAGCCTTCACTCAAAGAGAAGTAACAAAATATATATAAACAAGTATATATATTAAAAGAGGAACTGGAATGGCTATTGCCAAAAGACAAGAAAATTAGAGATCCTTGAAACTACACTAGAAGCAAGAAAGGAGTTGACAAGAGTGAAGAAGCCTTCACTCTTGTCTCTATATATACTCTCTAACTAGGGGCTACATGGCGACGTTCTATAGGACCTCCAATATGTGTTGACTTTGTAGGGCACGTGCCATGACTTACAAGGCAAGTTTTTCTACGTGTGGGCCACATAGTTAGCTTGATCTTCAAGCTAACAACATGTGTGGCACATGGCCAACTTGTTGACCACGTTTCTAATCCAAAAAGTCAATTAAAGACACCTATGAAGTCAAGGCAGCGTCTAGAAAATTTCTAGGAAGCTTCTATATTAAATATTATAGAATTAACTTACTTTTACATACTTTTACTTACTTCTACCTATTTCTATATGTAATTAATAGCTTACATGATTATGGCCGTGACATTACCCCTCCTTCTA